GGGTGCATTGAAGTTTCGAACGGTACCTTAAGTGCTCAAGGACCCACTTTGCGTTCGGAGAAGTGGTTCACCCTTTTCTGTTGTTGTAGATCTACGAAGCGACAAGTCCCATCTTTGAGGTGAATTGCTCTTCTGTTCTTTAACTTAGGGTAGCTTACTTTGTCTATGCGGTGTGAAACTGATGTCTCAAGTTAAGGCACTACTCGTAGAACCGATGTCCATTGAGGCACTATTCGTAGAACTCTCTCGGTGAGACGGGATGGTGGTGTGCTAGTCTACTCATCATCCATGGGAGTGACTGGATGTACTTGCCAACTAATATAATTACCTACGTGATCTCAAGCCCTCTCTTAAGACGGATCCGTACTTGACAACAACATCAAATACATAAAAATAAATAAATAAATAAATAAAAATAAAAATTAATAATTTAAAATATAATTTATTGAATAATTTGGATGATTATAAGTTTTTAAATATTAATAATTATTTTAGCTAATTGATTTTATAAATTTCTTCCCCAAAAGAAGATGGTTGATTCATGCAACGCTCGAGTAAAAAATGACTACATAAACGAACTGAGACCACATTCGAACGAAACTGATCTTCAAGGTATGATGGTTAAAAAATACTTGAAAAATTGATAGTCACTGCTTATTTTAGGGACGTGCACCTTCATTTTCAATGACACAATTTTAAGAACTTTAAGGTCGAGCGTTTTTAGTATTTGAGTAAGAACAAAATATTTTGAAAGGATCTGTGTTGGTGCGTGGGGAATAATTTTCATTCTTAAAAACACTTCAAGACAAGTAGGTAGCGTGAGCATATTGCGGGGATACAGGAGAATCTCGAGCCATCAAGTGTCAAATTCGATTCCAATGTTTAATTCCTTGAGGAGTTTCCCACGGTTGATTTTTGGATAGGAAAGATTTCCAATTTTATTGAACAGAAAAGTAAATTACACAAACGGTAAACACGTTAGATCATAGCTTAAGGGATTCGTAGATCCCTTAAGAGATCAATTATTCTCGTATATTTCTATGGCATATTTTGACATAACATTAAGCATGTGCGACCTGTATGTCAGCTTTGTCATGGTGAGCATCAACCCAGGAATCTTTAGCTTTGAGGTTGTCGTGATCGCGATCTTTGACAGAAGGATTTGTTTTGTTATCATCGGGATAAAATGAGGCACTTGGTCGTGATTGTATGTCTTTGGAAAGAAGTTCGACTTCAACAACATTTGGATAAAATGAGAGATTCGGCCGTGGTTCTATATCTTCAGCAATAAACTTTTTTGTGGTGTCGTCGGGATAAAATGATGCACTTGGTCGGGGTTCTATGTCTTTAGAAAAAAGTTTAGTTTTGACAACATCCGGATAAAATGAGAGGTTTGGTCGTGGCTCTATTTCTTCAGCAATAAACTCTTTTTTGGTGTCGTCGGGATTAAAATGAGAGGTTTGGTCGTGGCTCTATTTCTTCAGCAATAAACTCTTTTTTGGTGTCGTCGGGATAAAATGATGCGCTTGGTCGGGGTTCTATGTCCATAGAAAAAAGTTTAGTTTTGACAACATCCGGGATAAAATGATGCGCTTGGTCGGGGTTCTATGTCCATAGAAAAAAGTTTAGTTTTGACAACATCGGGATAAAATGAGAGGTTTGGTCGTGGTTCTATATCTTCAGCGACAAACTTTTTCTTGGTATCGTCGGGATAAAACGATGCACTTGGTCGGGGTTCTATGTCTTTAGAAAAAAGTTTAGTTTTGACAACATCCGGATAAAATGAGAGGTTTGGTCGTGGCTCTATTTCTTCAGCAATAAACTCTTTTTTGGTGTCGTCGGGATAAAATGATGCGCTTGGTCGGGGTTCTATGTCCATAGAAAAAAGTTTAGTTTTGACAACATCCGGATAAAATGATGCACTTGGTCGGGGTTCTATGTCTTTAGAAAAAAGTTTAGTTTTGACGACATCCGAGTCAAATGTGGCTTGTGGTCGAGGCTCGAGATTTTTGACGAAAAGCTTTCCATCTTCAATCTTCAAAGTTTCAGTACAATCTTCTGTTTCTTTTTCAGAAAGAAGTGAGTTTGGATCAGAATGGATAAATTCTTCAATGTCTTCATGCAACAACTTGTTGTCGATGAAATTTCTCCAGTGATGATCTCCTGGCTCGTGCCTCGATTCTATAGTGTTTGCAAGCTAAATTCACCACAAAAAAACCGAAATCAAAACATATTTGAGTATACGAAAATAACTTAAATTCAATACGAAATGGGGTTAGAGTGGGGGAAGACGAATGGAATTGGTAATTAATTACCAAAATAAGTAAGAAGAAATTGATGAACACGAGTCCCTTCATGTTTTGATATCACTTCGTTCCTCCTTTGTTGAGTTCCCTTAAAAAAAATCACAAACGCTTCTTCTATATATACCTTTAATATGTTCCTTCATGCTTACGACTCAGATAAATTTTATATTTGGCTAAGTTAATAAAAATATCTCTAAACTTTACACCGTCTCAATTATGTTTCAATAATAACTTTAAATTTAAAAAAAAAAATCCTCATAAATGTTTCAAATATTTTGTATTTTAAAAAAATTTAGAAGTACCAAAAGTTCAAAAATATTATTATCATTAAAATATTTCAAAAAATACTCATAAATTGAACATTAATATCTTAAACTTTTAGAAAAAAGTTTTATTTTTTTATATTGTTGATGTGTTCAAATTGAAGAAGGAAATAATCTATGAGATGCAAATAGACGACTCATGTTTCTATAAAAATCAAGGATGTTAACAATATTTTTAAAAGTTCTCGTTATTTAAAAAACTCAATAACTCAAAAAATTCAATTGACATAACTCAACCGATACCGTTATTTAGGTTGAATTGAATTCAAATAAATGAAAATTTTATGATCACATAAGTTTCAAAAAATTAAATAGAACCAACGGGTTAATTTTAATTTTCTTTTTAGGATACAGTTATATACATATATTTATTTAATTTTATTATTATTATTTCTTCAATAATTCTATAAAATAATTTTTAATTATTTAAGAGGTAATTTTTTAAATATATATTGAAATAGAGTTGCAAATATAAATAAAATACTTAAAAATAAATAAATAAATATTTTATGAACTAACATTTTATTTTTATTAAAAATAAAAATTTAAATAAATGATCGAAAATCTATCCCATCTAAAAATTTTGTATTTAAATTAATTTTGGATGAGATCATTAATTAATAAAATTTATTATTATTTGCATTATTGTCATTTATGGTTGATTATTGCATCATTGTCATTTATGGTTGATAATGCAAATTAATGGATACTTATAACAAGAAAAAGGAGGCTATATAGATGGAATTTATGAATGACTAATTATGGAAAGTTTTACAAACCTTACTTGAGGTTAAATAAAATTTAAATTTTTAATTTTTTTTAATTAAATATAGAATATGATTGAGCTATACTCTGTTGATAGTCATTATCACGACTCAATTTTCGAGGTTTCAAATCTCAAATCATGATTTAAAAGACAAACTACAAACAAATAAAATAATGTGGTGAAATTTAAATCGAAATAAAAACAAAAAATTTCTTGATTAAATATGAAATAAAATTCAATTATAGGAGGTTGTTGCGTAAATTTATTATAAACGAGAAAATGAGTTTAGGATACAATTAGAAAATGAAATACAAAGATGAATTGACGTTCCATAACGTCCCCCTTTATGACCGTATAGCTTTCGAACACTCCTCCGTCTTGACCGGCAGCCTGTGAGCACTGGACAAAAAAGAAGGGTAAAAGGGTGACTATAAAAATAATCAGTAAGCAACCTATTTGTATGCTCTTATCACATCCTTAACATAGTAGGTATCTATGTACTTTACTTTGGGATTAAGGAAGTTCGAGCCTAGTCTCTACTGCCACTTGAGCATCTATGGTGCCTCAAAGTCTTGAACGGTACCTTAACTGCTAAAGGACCCACTTTAGGTTTAGAGGAGGTGGTTCACCCTTTTCTGACATTGCAGGTCCGTGGAACGACGAGTCCCATCTTTGGGTGAATTACTCTCTGTTGTTTAACTTAAGGTAGCTTACTTTTTAGGCACTATCTCGTACAACTCTCTCTTTGGTGGGGATATGATGTGTGTGCTAGTCTAATCATCATCCATGTAAAGTTAGTTGGCAAATGTTGAACACAACTCTCTGTGGGAAACACTCACACACTTATTAAGAACCAGAGATTTACAAAAGACTATTCCTTTGTATTGTTTTGGATTTACTGGTAGGATGGAGGGTATTTATACCGTCAATCTATTCCTAAAATTTGTTAAGGTTTTTTCTAAAATACCTAAATCATTCTCTTAATTTTATTCTAAAATTCCTAAATCATTTTCCTAAATTTATTCCTAACATTCTAAATCATAAATATAATTACTGAGCTTAACCCTATTGGGCTAGTGATGATATTTTAACGGCTAACCCTTCCCATGAGATTATATAGTCACCCAAGGTTGGCGAAGTGACTCCATGCTCCATCTACTTACCAGCTACTAAGACTACCTACGTGATTTCACGCCCTCTCTTGGGATGGATCTGTACTACTTATACTTAAAGAATTGATGGTTAAGAAAAACTCGAAGAATTGATAGTCACTACTTATACTAAGAACGTGCACCTTCATTTTTTATGACTAAATCTTAAGAACTTTAAAGTTACGCGTTCTCAGTTTGAAGTAACCACGTTAGGTGATCTAGTATTTGAGCATGAACAAAATATCTTGAAAAGGATTTATATGAATACATGGGAAATAGTTTTCATTCTTAGAAATACTTCAAAACGAATAGGTAGCGTGATCATGTTGCAAGGATACATGAGAATCTCGAGCCATCAAATGCTAAATTCGATTCCAAACTTGGTTCAACGGTGTTATAATTTTGAAAATTTATTACTAAAACAGATCGTTAAAGTAGATCATATATTTATTCCATTCGGTATCGATCACTATTACATGAAATGGAAATCTAAATAGAAACCATCCCAGTATATAGCTTCCTCGTAATATTATTCATGACCACAACTTATTTTTTCCACATTCAAACAGAAAAGTAAATTACACAAACCATAAACACGTTGGATCATAGCTTAAGGGATTTTTAATAGATATTTTTCTTCCTTTCTCTTTGGACATAGCATCAAGCTTGTGCCACTTGTACGTCAGCTTCATCACGGAGAGCATCGATCGAGAACTCTTTGGCTTTGAGATTGTCTCGATGAAATGTGGTACTTGATCGTGGCTCTATAGGTTTGATAACAAGATTTGTTTTGATATCATCGGGATAAAATGTGACACTTGTGCGCGGTTCTATATCTTTGACAATCTTTGTTTTGATATCATTGGGATAAAACGTGACACTTGGTCGCGGTTCTATATCTTTGCCAACTTTTAAATTGATGTCATCCGGATAAAATGTGACACTTTGTCGTGGTTCTATATCTTTGGCAATCTTTGTTTTGATATCATCGGGATAGAATGTAATACTTGGTTGTGGTTCTATATCTTTGGCAATCTTTGTTTTGATATCATCTGGATAAAACGTGACACTTGGTCGCGGTTTTATATCTTTGACAACCTTTAATCTGATATCATCCGGATAAAATGAAGCACTTGGTCGGGGTTTTATGTTTTCAGAAAAAAGTTTAGTTTTGACAACATCCAGATAAAATGAGAGGTTTGGTCGTGGTTCTATATCTTCAGCGATAAACTTTTTCTTGGTATCATCGGGATAAAACGATGCACTTGGTCGGGGTTCTATGTCTTTAGAAAAAAGTTTAGTTTTGACAACATCCGGATAAAATGAGAGGTTTGGTCGTGGTTCTATATCTTCAGCGATAAACTTTTTCTTGGTATCATCGGGATAAAACGATGCACTTGGTCGGGGTTCTATGTCTTTAGAAAAAAGTTTAGTTTTGACAACATCCGGATAAAATGAGAGGTTTGGTCGTGGTTCTATATCTTCAGCGATAAACTTTTTCTTGGTATCATCGGGATAAAACGATGCACTTGGTCGGGGTTCTATGTCTTTAGAAAAAAGTTTAGTTTTGACAACATCGGGATAAAATGAGAGGTTTGGTCGTGGTTCTATATCTTCAGCGATAAACTTTTTCTTGGTATCATCGGGATAAAACGATGCACTTGGTCGGGGTTCTATGTCTTTAGAAAAAAGTTTAGTTTTGACAACATCGGGATAAAATGAGAGGTTTGGTCGTGGTTCTATATCTTCAGCGATAAACTTTTTCTTGGTATCATCGGGATAAAACGATGCACTTGGTCGGGGTTTTATGTCTATAGAAAAAAGTTTAGTTTTGACTACATCCGAGTCAAATGTGGCTTGTGGTCGAGGCTCGAGATTTTTGACGAATAGCTTTCCATCTTCAAGCTTCAAAGTTCCGGTGCAATCTTCCATTTCCTTCTCAGAAAGAAGTGAGTTTGGATAAGATTGGATAAATTCTCCAATTTTTTCACGCAATGACTTGTCGTCAATGAAATTTCTCCAGTGATGATCTCCTGGCTCGTACCTTGATTCTATAGTGTTTGCAAGCTAAATTCACCACAAAAAAGCCGAAATCAAAACATGTTCGAGTATACGAAAATAACTTAAATTCAATACGAAAAGGGGTTAGAGTAGGGAAAGATGAATGGAATTGGTAATTAATTACCAAAATAAGTAGGAAGAAATTGATGAACACAAGCCCCTTCATGTTTTGATATCACTTCGTTCCTCCTTTGTTGAGTTCCCTACAAAAGAAAACCACAAACTCTTCCTCTATATACCTTTTATCTTCCATTCAGATAAATTTTATATTTGGCTAAATTAATAAAAATATTCATAAATTTTACGCAATGTTTCAATAATAACTTTAAACTTAAAAAAAATTGAAAACAGTTAAATTAAACACGTTAGAAAGTATCAATAAACTTTCAAAAATTAATATCCTAAAACTTTTAGAAAACAATTAATTTTTTTTACTGAGGGAAATAATAGATGTAAATAATTATAATAATTTTTTAACAAATTTTCTATAAAAATTAAGGGCGTTAATGATACTTTTAAAAAATTCATACTTATTTAAAACCTCAATAACTCAAAAAATTCAATTGACATAATTGACATAACTCAACTAGTCCAGTTGAGTTATGAATTTATTTAGGTTCTATTGAATTTAAATAAATGAAAATTTTATGAATCACGTAGTTTAAAAAAAAACTAAATCAGGTTGAACTGAACCCATTCTTGTTAATTTTAAATACATATTTTTGCTTCCGATACCATTATATATACATATATTTATTTAATTTCATTATTATTATTATTATTTATTATTTATTTTCTAATCACTCTATAAAATAATTTTCGAAATATATATTAAAATAGTAGGCAAATCTTAATTAAATACTTAAAAATAAATAAATAGTTTATTTTTATTAAAAATAAATATGGTATTTAAATTAACTTGGGATGAAATCATTAATTAATAAAAATTATTGGAGTTGATTATTGCATTATTGTCATTTATGGTTGATAATGCAAATTAATGGATACTAATTACAATAAAAAGGACTGATTATACAAAGTGTTTGTGATTTTAGGTTATTTCTCAAAACTTATCTTAATTATGTCACGTGCTCTAATTTCATCTTTAAGTTTATCTCGATCATTGATGTCATATAACTCAACTCAAGGATCGGTATCATATAGCCTAGCCCATATGCGAAATTTCTCTCGATTTTTTAATGAGAAGTTACTTCAACATCGCTTGATCCACCCTCTAATTCATGAATAACAACAAGTTCGATCTTGATCGTTTATGCAACAGTCCAAGCCTATCACTAGCAGATATTGTTCGTTTTTGGTTCATTACATATCATCGTCAGCCTTACGATTTTGAAACGTGTATGTTAGGGAGAGATTTTCACACCCTTATAAAGAATGTTTCGTTCCCCTCTCTAATCGATGTGGGATCTTACCGTTTAGGTAGATTAAGACGTATGTCTAATTCACAAAATCATTTGATTCTTAAGCAATTATCTCCCTAAAAAAAACAACAAACACGTAAATTTACATGAAAAATTCTTGATGTGAAAACTACTCTCGAAACAATATTATTAAAATATTAAAATTAATGAAAGTTATTAATATTTTTTAACATAATTAAAATTTATGAATTAAATTTGTAATTTAATGAAAATTAAAAATGTCACATTAATAATTTTTGTAATAATGCAATCAAGATTGAGATGAATTAAACCAACGGAAATGAAGATTATATTTTCAATTCTCGCCCCACCCTAACCATTTATTTACTTATCTATTTATTATTTGAACATATCACTATTTTTATTAGAATATTTTATAAAACTTTTAAAAATAGTTATCGTAAAATCGAAGTCTCACCGCTAGCAGATATTGTCTGCTTTGACCCGTTATATATCATTGTCAACTTCACGATTTTAAAATGCATCTACTATGAAAAGGGTGTAGCTCTATTCTGACTAATGTCTCGCATCGTTCGTTAACTATTTCTGATACCATTTGTACCGTCAAAACCCACCACTAGTAATATTATTCTTTTTGAGCTTTTCCTTTCGAACTTCCCCTCACGATTCTAAAACGAAAAAAAATCTCCGTCACTCCAATTTCCTAAAAAATAAATAAATTTTTTTATAAAAATGAAGATTGAAATAGGTAATAAGAACGGGGCAAAAAGTATCTCTAGATATCAGTGAATCGTTCCCATAAATAGGCATATTGAGCTCCTTAGGAAGCTTATACAACCCAAACCCAACAAAACATGGAGGAAACTAAAAGGATGGGTAGCACCAGACTGGCTTCTTGCTTCATCTTCCTACTTCTTCTCTTCCTAATTCTTAAGGTAAAGTTTGAGCTTTTTTACTTCAAATTTTGAGTGTTCTAAATATTGTAGAGCTCTCGAACAAATTATAGTAAAAGCCTCTTTGGAAGCTTGTGGAGCTCTCGAACAGCCTCCCGTTAATCGAGGCTTGACTCCTTTATCTGGAGCCCTCGAATAAAGTACACCCTTCGTTCTCCACTTGAGGATTCTATTGACATGGCTAAGTTAAGGGCATGACTCTGATACTAGGTTAGAAATCATGCATCTCCACAATGGTATGATATTGTCAACTTCGAGCATAAGCTCTCATGGCTTTGCTTTGGGCTTTCCCACAAAACCTCGTACTAATGGAGATGTATTCTTTTACTTATATACTCATGATCATTCTCTAAATTAGTCAAGGTGAGACTCACTCCCAACAATCCTTCCCACGAACAAAGTACACTATAAGCCTCCCCTGAGACTTATGGAGCTCTCGAGCAAAAGCCGCTTGAGGATCTATTAACATGGCTAAGTTAAGGGTATGACTCTGATACCATGTTAGAAATCATGAATCCCTACATTAGTCAAGGTGGGACTCACTCCCAACAATCCTCTCCTCGAACAAAGTACATTATAAGCCTCTCTTGGAGCTTATAGAGCTCTCAAACAGACTCCCCTTAATCGAGGCTTGACTCCTTTCTCTGGAGCCCTCAAACAAACTACACTATTTGTTCGCCATTTGAGAATTCTATTGGCATGCCTAAGTTAAGGGCACGACTATTCCTTTCTCTAGAGCCCTCAAACAAAATACACCATTTGTTTACCATCTGAGGATTCTATTAACATGGCTAAGTTAAGGGTATGACTCTGATACCATGTTAGAAACCACGAATCTTCACAATGGTATGATATTGTCCACTTTGAACATAAGCTCTCATAGCTTTACTTTGGACTTTCCCAAAAGACCTCGTACTAATGAAGATGCATTCGTTTACTTATAAACCCACGATCATTCCCTAAATTAGCCAACGTAGGACTCATTCCCAACAATCCTCAACAAATATCACCTCACAATGCTCATATTTTGCAGTTTGCCGAAGGAAATACAAAAGCCTTCGATGAAAGCGATGAGAAGAAGGATCCCATGCTCATACAAATGGTGACCAAAATAGACCCAAAACTCATAGTTTTCTTCACCATAAATGACCTAAAACAAGGCAAAAAACTCCCAATTTACTTCCCCAAAAGAGACCCATCAAAATCCCCTCCATTATTCCCCAAACAAACCCCTAATTCAATCCCTTTCTCCCTCAAAAACCTCCCTCAAATCCTCTCCTCCTTCTCCTTCCCCCACGCCTCCCCTCAAGCCCAAGCCATCCAACAAACCCTCCACCAATGCGAGCTCAAACCCATCAAAGGCGAGACCAAGTTCTGCGCCACTTCCATGGAATCAATGCTAGCCTTCGTAACCACTGCCTTGGCCACAAAACCCCCTTTCAAGCTTCTCAAAACGTCCCATCTCACAAACTCCAACGTCCATCTCCAAAACTACACGTTCCTCGAACCCCCTAAGCAAATTGCAGCCCCGAGGCTCGTGGCATGTCACACCATGCCATATCCATACGCTGTGTATTACTGCCATTACCAAGAAGGTGACAATAGTGTCCTGAAAATTGCTTTGGAAGGTGATAATGGAGACTTGGTTGAGGCTTTGGCGATCTGTCATATGGATACCTCCCAGTGGAGCCCTAGTCATCCGTCGTTTCGTGTCCTTAATATCCAACCTGGGTCCGTCCCCGTTTGCCATTTCTTCCCTTCTGATGATCTTGTATGGATTCCTCAAGATTAGGTCAAAGGTTCGAATACTCCTACTCCTGTTTGTCAAACTCAATAAATAAGAAATAAGAGTACGGTCGTACAATCAAACGTGCTTTCAAGTGGTAGTATGTCGTTGGTCGAACATGTACATAGGTCTAAGTTTGATTTCCGTCTTTTAAATTATGTAATGCATAAAAATAAAATAAATTGAAATATCCTCAACTTTATTTAATCAATATTAGTTTAGAAAAAAAAAAAATAGAAAATTTAATAAATTTCTAAATTATATCCATAGATTCTGATTTGGCAATGCTACGTCAGCAATTTATCCAACGGTCATTAAAAACTAGATAGACTTGGAGCATCCAATCCAACGGTTGATAGAAAACCACGTCATAACTAGAAATGATCATCTCTACCAAAAAAATGGCTACTAACAACCATAACGATGACCTTCAACTCTCTCTCGCCCTCTCGACGGCCGCCGCCGCCACGGTCGATGCAGCCTCTGAGCGACACTTAATAATCTTAATGAGAACCGCCGACAATTTAGAATTTCACCGAAGATCTCTCCATCATATGAAATCTCAAATACCGAGAGAGACGGGGCCGATCGAGCCACCATATCCATGGTTGACGAACCAAAGAGCGGTGGTTCATACACTAAACTATATGACATCGAACCAAATCCTAACGATCACTGGGGATGTCAAGTGCCACCATTGTCAAAGAATTTACGAGATCGAATACGACATTGTTTTGAAGTTCAACGAGATCGGGAGCTTCGTAGAGAACAACATGGAGTCGCTCCAGGACCGGACGCCGAGGTCGTGGATATGGCCGAATTATTCGACGTGTCGGTTTTGCGGGACGGAAAAAGGAGTGAGGCCGGTGATTCCAAAGGAATGTGAGAAGATCAATTGGGTGTTCTTGCTTTTGGGAGAAATGGTGTTGTAACATGTTTTCATAACTGTTAAATGGATTAAGCTTTTATAAACAAAGAATACTTCTCCAATATGAGACTTTTTGGAAAGGAGGGTCAAAGTGGACAATATCAAACCATTGTGGAGAGTCGTGTTCGTCTAATATGATATTAGAGT